CTCGCTGAAGAGATGAAAATCAGAGTTTACAGCCTAGGACGCCAATATTTATACTCTCTGACCACGCCCGTTTCGGCGGGCTCTGACGCAATGAGAGCATGTCAGACTCTCATTGGCCGAGAGTTCATTCGCGTCTCCTCATAGGCTTAAGCAGTTCTCTGTGAGCGAACCAATGAGCTGCTAGCTAGCCCGCTCATGGTCTGCTGCAGCTGAACTGCGTTGACAATGGATACAAAATTATAGGATAATTTTTGGCTTCAATTTCTCAGAAAAGATTAATCTTTCCCGTAGCGTAAGCTAGCTTACGCAATACGAGAGAACCTCTCGTAAGAGAACTTGAACCCTACTTCAAAATTTGCCACTCTCTAGTTTCTTTTAAGATATTGTTGGTTTTTGCATTTAATATTTGTCCATCTGGAACTTTTATTTGTGATGAGCTCTATATTTTAAAAGATGTACTAGAAAAAATATGATTCAACAACAAAAACTCTGTTTTAACTCGGCAAATTTGTTTTCCTTTGTGTTGCAATGTATAACTATCAGACCGGCCCTCGCGGCCTCGAAACACTACCGGCCCACCAGGAAAAGTCCCGACTCTCCCGATTGCCACTCCGCTACTGCTCTCGCACAAAACTGGATGTGCGCTCTCCAACATACAGTGCTCTCTTACACTGCAAAAAAAATGCCTTTCTTACTTAGTATTTTTGTCTTGTTTCCAGTCCAAATATCAAAAAATTCTTAAATCAAGATGCATTTAATAGATGAGTAAAATGCCATAAGATATTAGGCTAGCATTTTTTTGCAGTGCATCTCCTCACGTGCAGATATTGCGTGATCTCTCTGTTTTTGCACTTGAAATTAATTATCTTCACTTCTGGATTAAACGTTCTCAAAAGTTACCAACCAATCAGAATAGACTTCCACGACTGAACCATGAAAATGATACATGGAATCATATTGGCTGAGAGTAAACTGCACCCGGAATTCTTTCGACAATCATAACGGATCTTTAATTACTTTACAACTTAATAATATTATTAATCACACTGTAAACCCCAATGTTGTCATTAATAAAGAAATCAAGTTATCATAACTTAACTTTACTTAAAATTGCAAGTTTTGGCATCAAAAATTAAACAGGTGTGTTTAATGTAGGCTCATTTGGCAGCAAAAAATTTAGATTTTAAGTGTTATGATTTGTGTTAAGTGTTAAGTGTGTTAAGAGTTCCGACTCTTATTTGGAGCTGAATCACACGAGACTTTCAATTCCCGATGCCTATAAATCGAATCTTTTTTTAATCGACTACTGTCTCGACTCTCGAGCCTGTTCTTCCCCCTCCCCCACAGCCTCGCTGACTCACTGCAGTTCTTGGGCGCGTAGAGAGCGAACTAGTCCTAGGTTTTCCGCCCGATCGGAACCAAACCACTCTAGGACAATTCTCTAGACTTTCTAGATAAATAATTATCGAAAAAAAGTTGAACTTTTGCATTTTTCGTATGTCTAAAATGGGGTCATTTAGAAAATGGGCGTGGCAAAATACACTCAAAAGCCTGTAAATCCGAAAAAATTCATGGAGATCGGACCATAGGTGGCGCTATAACTGTCAAGAAGCTTTAATTATTATTAGGGAGAGCTGTAGAGAGCGTCTGGTATTTTCTGAGGCTGAGAAAACGTATATGGTAAGTGTTAATTCATAAAACTTGTCATAAAACATCAAAATGTTTGCCAGAACATAACATCAAAATTTGTTCAATGTTGTAACAGTTTTTTCACTGTATTTTCTAGCCCGACATTGTTTTCGAGCCGTTTATTCCCGCTCCAGCCCAGAGCCTTCACCGCTGGTCCCGTCCAGCACAGAGCCTTCACCGCTGGTCCCGTCCAGCACAGAGCCAGCGCTCCACGTCAACCCTGCCGAGTTAGCGCTTCACGTCCCGTCTGCCCAGCCAGTCCCTGTCCCAGAGGCTGGTCCTAACTCTGTCACTTTCCCCAAGAATCTTTTTTGGGGGGGGGGGCATAGGTGCAAGGGGCCACGGCCACCAGAAAAATCCTCTCCGCCATGGCCACCCGAAGGGTCCTCTCCGCCATGGGCACCCAAAGGGTCTTCACCGCCATGGCCACCAGAAGAGGCGTCTCCGCCATGGCCGCCTGCTCATCGTGCTCTGCCCTGGAGGTTTCCTGCCCTGGATAGGCCACGCCCTGGTCAGCCTTCAGGGCGCCCACCCCCCCACCCCTGTTGATGTTCTACGGCGCGAGGTCGTGCCTTTTTATAGGGGGGCGTTATGTCACAGTCATCGTCTGCACCATCCTGTCTTCGTCTTCACTGCACTTCCCAGAATCCTTCTTGTCTCCACACCTGAACTCACTCCCTCAATCACCCACCTGTTCTTCGTCATCATCATCCGTGTCACCTGTCCTCACCTCATTGTTCATTGGTATCTGTATTTAGTTTCCCTCTGTTCAGTCAGTCCTGGTCGGTTCTTGTGAAGGTTACCTTTGTGTGTACCCTCTGCCCGTCTGCCTGCCTGTACCTGTTTGTTGTTTTGTTATTAGTAAAAGTTTGTATTGGAGCCTTTGGACTTTGAGTCTTCTTCAATCCACACCACACCATGACAGTCCCTTGTAGGCAGACTTTTTTTTTTAACTTGGCTAAAACAATATTGAGCTAGGCCTATGTTTCATCTCCCGCTTCTTGATTCTCGTGTCACTTGAGCGGACAGGCGTGCTTTAGGATGTCATGACAATGACAGTTTAGGGCGGCACAAGTTCGCATTCATTTATACTTTGAGGGGCTGAGGTGGGTCAGACCCGGCATATTTTAAGTCGGCTTTTATGCGCCATTGTGTCTTTACACAGAATTTTGAGCAGACACAGAGCCGCTATAGATCAGCCTTAACTCGGCTGTGTAAAGATGCCATAGGTCATTTAAGTTTTTTTTCTTTTTTTTTCTGAAAAATGTAATATGTTATATGCAAGCTAATTGTTTATGTAAACAAAGTACCACATATCCCCCAAAACACACCATAAATGTATACTTGAGAAGTTAAAAAATTATATATTTTTATACAATTGCTCTGTAAATGTTTAGGGTCCGAACTGTCCCCAAAGACGATGAGGGTAAAGGGGGAATGAGGATAATATGAGGGTTAAAACAATCTTACAGACCCCAACAATTTGAACTGTAGAGTACATATAAAAAAAAAAAATAAAAAAAAATAATGATAAACAAACCTACCAAACAAAAAATCTTCATACAAACAATTTCAAATGTTTCTCTGATGGCTCAATATTCATAATTTCATATTTAAAATACTAATTTCAAAATATTATTTCTGTTGTACATGTCACTGCTGTACAGCATTAAATGTAAATGCAATGTTCAATCATACATGACTCTTCATATGCAACTTATGCACTGTAAAGATGACATACGAGATAAACTGATGGATGGGTAGTCTCAATGTTCAGTTTCTGATACGCAAGGACAATTCCAGTGAACATTTATCTCCATTACTAACTTTCAGAGTTCAAACTGGCATGGCAATGGTGATAAACAGCTTCCAATGGGTCTCACATTGATGAGAAAAGCATTTTGCAAATGAGCCACGGTTTGAAGCAGCATAAAGTGTGAGAACAAACCAGTGGGGTAGCAATTGAGCGGAGGTTTAGACTCCGGGAAACATACCAAGTGTTAACTCAGCATTATTCTCCCTGAAATGTCATTTATTATGGATCCTGTCCATTTCCCAGAAGTTCAATGGTTTGACAAAATCTACTGCTGAGCTGAAGGCACACCTGCTTCTCAGTGCAGTTCTGCTCATGTGGAGACTGTTTTGTAACCGTGATGTCAGTCATTTCATCATTTCAGCGGGTAAATGGGTATTCACTTTTGTAAAGAGCTATGCTATATCTAAAACTACTTTTCACATATTTTATTGATTTGATGACCTTATTACATTTTCCTCCATGGATGCAGAACCTGATTTCACGAAGTACAACTTTGCTGATTCTGGAACAACATCCAATCAGATTTGAGGGACAAGTTTACAGTTTATGTCAAGTTTAGGCTTACTATCAAGGTTTGGTGCTTCTACATCAGTGTTAATTCACCTATCATTAACCTCTTTTAGGGATAACTTATTAGGTTTAGGGGTAGGGATGTGATTAGGACAACATTTTCATACAGGAATGTTCAAAATATGTTGATCCAGAAAATCAGGACGTGCTTCATGGACACACTGGGCCCTATCATGCAATGCAGCGCCAGGCACGACGCAAGTGTTTTTTGCTAGTTTCAGCCCAACATTTTAGTTATCATGTTCACGTCCTTGTTTAAATAGCAAATGCATTTGCGCCCATTTGTGCGGCCATGGGTGTGCTGGTCTGAAAACGATGTCTGTTCAGGCGCATTGTTGACGCTCTTGCTATTTTGAGGCAACTGAAATAGACTGCGCCAATTTAATATAGTCAATGGCGCAATATTTTTTTTATTTAAAGGACGCGTTAGTAATGTGCACCTATAGGCAGGTCCACAACGCGCATTCACTTTAACCCGTAGATGGTCTGCTTGCAGGCTTTAACCTCGCGCACGAGCAGATCCGTTTTCTCGCTAGAGAAGTGTTCAGTTTTTCTGCTTGCAAATTCCGCCATGTAAATAGCGAATCCGCGAGCGCAACAGGCTTTTACAGGGAATGGGAGATGAGACTCTGATTGCTTTATTGTATGTTACGCCCAAAACAAACCCATTACTCATTAAGAGAATCGGAACAACCCTTTTAGACCATGCCCCATGTGCGCCGACAATTTTAACGAGCAAAAGTGGATTCGGACACGATCTAAGTGCACTTGCGCAGTGCGCTTAAGCGCATGGTCTACAGCGCACTGCGCAAGTGCACTTAGATCGTGTCCGAATCCACTTTTGCTCGTGGCACACTATGTCAACTACCCACATGCATGTAACGTTCTGTTATATTTGAATATGTGTGTATCAGCACGCCATTACCTGTATAAGTCTGTTCTGTTCAGTTTGCAGTGTGTTCAGGTCCTGTCCCAGGTTGCCTTGTCCTCGTCTAAGAGACTCATAGTCCATCTTCAGCTGGCCCGCATGGGCTGACAGCTTAGCAACTTCCTCTGCCAAGTTGACCAATAGCGCTCGATCCTGACCTTTGACGGACTTAAGATCCGTATCATGGTCGGTGAGCGAGTGCAGCAAAGATGTCTGCACGCCTTCCAGCCGCAAGAAGTTACTGTTATAATCAGGGCAGTTGGGGTCGATGAAGATATTAATGCGTGATCCATCACCTCTCTCGACTGTCACCAACGCATTGGCTTCGTCCTGATTGGTGCTAATATGGGGCGGACCATCCGACATGGGGGGAGCCTGGTAGTGGTTCATAAGAAGAATGGTTCCAGTCACTGTGACTGCGAGCAGAACGGCCACGAAGAGTAGGATGGTACATAGCAGATAGCTACAACTCATCCTCTGCAGACAGACAAAGACAGAAAAAAAGACAGAGAGACAAAGAGTTAAAGCGTAATAACATCATAATCATCATTATCATTTTGGCAGAACAGAAAGTGCTTTTTAAAGCCTGTTGGGGATAATACTGCAGTCTGACACAACTGCAGGAAAGACAAAGAAGGAGAGATGAAAGTGCTGAGATGTAAGGATGTATTATTATTTGTATGAATAACAATCATACATACGCATAAGAATGAGCTTTGTATGGTAATCATGTGTTCTTCATCTGAGAAATCCATTTTACAAATCAGAATCATAAAACCACACAGACGTAGACACAATGTTGTCATGTGGTGTCATTGTGAATTATCTATTCACTCCACAGTGCTCCCGTAATAGGGAAAAAATAAACCACTTTGATTTTACCATCCAACCAAATGTGTGTATGTGTAGTTTGGACATGTGTGTGCAATGATGCACTGGCAGTGTTGGTGTGTTCTCTGTGTAAAATATGTTATTCCCTGAAAAAGGTGCGTACACATATGTTCTCTTTTTTTCCTTCTTGTTCATAAATATGCAAAACAGCCACGCTGGCATTGGCCCATGCTGATGGGTGGTTAATGGCTTGCTTTACGAGTTGGCTTTTACGATCAACTAAGGGAATATAAAAAAGATTTCGGGGAAGCACTTCAGTGAACAGTTTACTCAGAGACCAGAGATCCTCTCTCCTCCATCTCTGAAGCCTAGTGGAACATGTTGAGGCAATAGATAAGCTCCTGGAATGAATTAAATAGGATCAAACCACACGGTACTTGTTGAATACATTTTGTTATACCTTGGCTTATCCTTCAAATAATTACTTCTGAGTCTAGTTTATGGTTTTGGTATTCTGTCTCACACACACACACACACACACACACGCACGTTTGCTTCACTATATGAGTGAGGACATAGCATATTTAATTTCAGGTTAATTATTTCTATCAGATTAGATATTTTATATGGCCATGGCCTTACCCTACCCCTACCCCTAAACCCACCCATCACAGAAACATGCACAAAACAGTAGACTTAAATAAAAACATGTTTTGTCTGATTTAAACGCCTTTTTAACTAGTGAGGTCAAGTAAAATGCCTTAACTAGTCGGTTGTTCTAATATTTCACTACAAGTGAGGACATTTAGCCCACACAAGTATAGCCAAACCTGTACACACACACACATATGGAAGTAAAATAATGACAAATGTTTTTGAAACAAAAAGCCTGTTGAATTGTACTACTTGAAAAAAATATGCATTGCATTAACCCTGCTTGTATTTTTAATGCATTGCATTTTTAGGGCTTGCATTTTTATGGGCTGAAATTTAGCATGGTTGAATATTTAGGCAGTGAATATTTCAATTCAAAACATTTCAAACACATTTTCATTAGTAAAATTTCCATAATCCATTTTCACCTTTCATATTTCACTTCCAAAATATTCAAACTGATTAAAAATACAACCTAATATTCAACAGGCGGTTTTCGGTCCATTTTATTTCGCTTTCAAATTCGCTTCCACAAATTCAGTGGTTCAAATTCGACAGTAAATTCAACGTCGACATCCAGGAACTGCAGGAAAAGCAGTCGATTACCGAGCATAATCTCCATCTGCTGTTAGTCGACCTCACCAGCAGTGGGTGCAAGCGCGTGATGTTGACGATTAAACTGGGAAGGGTCATAGCACTTTCATATTGCTGTTCTATATTGTTAGTTTAACTGTAAATCGCTTTGGATAAAAGCGTCTGCTAAATGACTAAATGCAGGGGTTAAATTGGGATTTATTATGTGGGGGTGCTCTCCCTAGGGGGGTCCGGGGGCATGCCCCCCCTGGAATTTTTTTTGGAAAAATAAACCATTAAATACCACTTTCTGGAGAGTTTTGTGCAAAGAAATGGAGAAATTGAGTATTACATGATATGTGAAAAACTGCAAGGTTAAGAGCATTTACTTTGCAACAGGTATTAGGACATTTAGCATTTACATTACTGTTAATCAGTCATCACTTGATTACACGTTGTATTAGGCCTACCTTGTTATGATATAGTGAGTGACCCATACAATGTGCCAAACATAATGTGCCACATGGAGAGACAGTGCAGCATATGACAGTAGCAACAGCTGAGAAGATTTGGGTCTGTGGTGACCAGGTCCACCTCATACAAACTTCCTTCTCCCATTCTCTCTCTTTACTACGACAACACACACACACACACACACACACACATAAAAAGGCAAAGTTTTGATTTCTGGCTCCAGTGGTTGCCTTACACAACCCACGTAAAGTTGATAATTCCGCGAATAACTGCAATTGCAAATACAAATATGCTGACTGAATAGATTGCTAGTTTATTTTAAGTAGCCAGCTAACGTTAAATTAGCAGTTCTCTTGGCAGTTTGCTGATAATCCGGTATCTGAAGTAAAATGCTCAAAACACTCCTGAGAAAAATCACATGGTCAACCTAGTCCTGGTTATTTAATTTTGATTTAGTCTTATTTTCCTTACCTTGTCATTTAAGGCCAGGGCACTTTTTTGACATTTCTGGAACATCCACATCCCGCGCAACCACGGTCTCCCAGGAACATTGGCCGTTTCTCAATACCAAGTACGCAAACTTCGGACTTGCGTCCTTTGTAGTTCGGACTTGCCAAGTTCGACTCAGGAGAACGAACTCCCGAGGACGAGAGGACGCAAGTCCGGTTATTCTGCAAATGGAACCGTGCGTTCTTGATCGCGTCACTCAGCACGCCTCTGGCTACTCCGGTTATCTCTTTATGTATATTTTAGGCAACAATAAAACGAAATATGCTACAACTCTGCCTCTTTTCGTCAACAATAAAACGAAACATGTTATAAAACACCACCCTGCCTCTTTTCATTTAAAAATCTTAAACATAGTAGCCTAATGGCCATGTGGTTCAAGCAACGCGTACTATCTTCACTGCATATATTTATAACATGAACATGATCTTTTTGTTTTCATTTTAAAAATATGAAACATTATTTATTTTTATTGACATTTAACAAACAGAGACAGGGTTGTGTAATTTTATTGTACATATAGTGAAGAGAATGTTAAAATAAATATAAATATATATATATATATATATATATAGGCTATATATATATATATATATATATATATATAGCCTATATATATATATATATATATATATATATATATATATATATATATATATATTTTATATATATTTTATATATAAAATAAAATTACACAATCCTGTCTCTTTTTGTTAAATGTCAGTTTTAATGATCAATTATATCTACAATGATAAATAAGGCAAACAATTCAAACATAAGTAAGCTCTCTAATAGGCTACAAAGTTAAAGTTAAATAGCCTAAATATATAAAGTTATGAAACCTCACTTTGCCCTCAGCCAAAACGATTTTTTTGCCAAGGAACAAAGTTTAATGAGACCAAAGATCGACTTATACACAAGACGAATTATACGTCAAGTTTATCCACTAGACTAGAGACATCAGAGCCAGCGGCAAACGTCAGAAGCACTAGCCGAGGAAAAGCTGTTCCAGTCGGGGTTGATGAGCGTTGAACACCCGCGGTGAACGCCTGGATGTCACAACTCCGAAAACGTCAGAGACATTTTTCAAATAGGCGCTATCTTTATAAATAAACCACAGATTTGAGCTTTAAACAACCACATTCTCGCCTGAAACACTCTTAAAATTACATTTCATGACACAATAACAGTAGTATTTTGATATTACGCGGGTTTTCTCCTCTGCTATTGACGCTTGCTGATTGGTGCGAGATGCATTCTGGGATACCTGGCTGTCTCAAGTCCGCACAAGTCACCTCTCGATGCATCCTCGGTAAACGGGGCGGATCAAGAACACATCCGGGGATTTGAACTGGACTTGGCTAGATGTGAACTTTGAATTGGAACAGTACTTGGGCAGTGACTGATGACGTTTCACAAGTCCACAAGAACACAAGTACAGACAAGAACGCATATTGAGAAACGGCCATTCATTATTGCTGTGTGTACATTTATCCGTGTCAGATGCGCATGCGCGAGCGATGCGCAATCATGGTCGACTGCAGGGGTGGTAAAAGTACTCAAAAGTAATACTCGAGTAAAAGTATATATACCTAAATAAAAAATTACTCCAGTAAAAGTAGAAAGTCCTCCATTCAAACATCACTTGATTAAAAGTACAAAAGTATCCGATTTAAAACGTACTTAAGTACCGAAAGTAAAAAGTAAATATTCAAATTAACTGTAAATATCAATAATTAAGCAGATCAATTGTTTTGGGAGTGATATGCAATGTTTTATTTGAACAAATGATAAGATTAGATACTGCAATTAAGAATTTGTTAGCTAGCTGTTTACAAGGCACGTTTCAATATGAAATCACTTGGATAACAATAGTAACATTAAAGCAACACTAAAGAACTTTTCCTCTGCGGTCCCCCTACAGGTTAGAAGCGGCATTGTCCGTTACCGCTGTCGTAAATAATTTAGCCTATACCGCATCCTACTGTCGCACGCATGCTCGCTGTTTATCCACTGTTTATCCAGCACCGGCTTTAGAGTAAATGATGTCCAATTGTAACACTTGCCGTAAAGCAAGTCAGATTTGTAGTGTTCTTATGTCTCATTCGAACTGCAGAAACGCGACCCGATCTGGCAAACTTATATAGTGTGGTTTTAGCAGATATAGGACCACAAAGCAAATGCAGAAGTGCCTTTCAGCCTGTTACGACTTGATCCGCTGAAACGATTTTGAAAACATTATTTTAAGGTAAAACATTATTTTAAGGACTTTAACGTCAATTAACGTCAATATGTTTTATCAGATTTGAGGGTAAAGTTTTGAATGCTGAAATTTCATTCACCCGTGGCAGGCAAAGAAGACATTTCAGCCGATATTAATCTCCATTCACTTCAGTGAATTCGAACATATCATTGATATATGGCCATGGGTGATCCCTGTCGGAAATCTTGGGATCATTGCTGGCAGCGAGAGCTGCAGCTTCACCGGTTTCTGCGGTCAATGGCGAACTGACTGACTGCTATGTGAGCGTATGCTGGCAAAGAGCTTGTGCGTTCTTTTTTTCAAAAGAAAAACAAGTTTTTCATTGGTTTGGAAAGGCAGTGTAATAAATATTTGGAGCGGGCATGGGGAAATGTATCAGAGTAAAAAGTAAACTTTGTCTTTAAAATTGTAGTGGAGTAAAAGTGAAAGTAGATGCAAATAAAACATACTCAAGTAAAGTACAGATCCCCGAAAAAAATACTTAAGTAAAGTAACAAAGTATTTTTACTTCATTACGTACCACCATTGCTCGACTGACAACGAGATTAAGCAGCTGAACAAAAATACGGCCGTGTTCCGATTGTTCTCATCTCAGCTCCGCCGAGACAAAATAGACATGCCATTTCAAAAATCTTTCATTTATTGTCAGAAATATGTTTTCAAAAGCATCACTTTCATCAAATTGTATGTGACATAATTTCCAGTAGGCAACTGACTGCAAACGAGCAGGCTTATGTGCCGGGGCTGAGCCCCGGAGAGCCCCGGCCCAATTTAACCACTGACTAAATGTAAAATTGGCTTGACATTCACACATTTAGGGACCGTCTCTAAAGTAACATTGGTAGTCCTATAGGCCTAAACGTTTCTAACTTCAATTGCAAGCTTCAATCTATTTGAATAAATTGCGCATTATGCCTGACACCTACATGAACACTTTACAGTTGGTTTTATGACTGTAAGTCGTTCTCTTCAAATGCTATTGAAGTTAGAAACGTGTATACCAATGTCGTATGTAACTTTAGAGACGGTCCCTAAATGTGCGAATGTCCAATGTCAAGCCAAATTTATGCCAGTATCACAGAGAAACGCTCAGCATTAAACTTTGCACATTAAGGTCATATTCTGAGTCCTTCTGCTTGCCTGCGAGTTTGGTCTTTTATATCACTGTATTAGTCCATAAGCTACGTTAAGCTTTTTATATGTCCAGCAGGGGAATCCTGACGTATTGAGGGAAACCCTAGTAATGCATGCAACACATCACCGCAACTAAACAACCAATAGAAATATATGTCAAACTCAAATGTAACATTGGACCTGTACATCCGCATCGGGGGAATAACATTATAATCTCGTTCACGGTAGAGAAAGAAGACACTGTAATCGTGAAGACACTGAATTTCACATAAAACAGACGTCATAATAATCACAGATAAACTTACATTGTTGTAAATTCGTTTTTAATGAATGAATGGCTTGCTCTAACTGTTGCTCCGGTCTTCGTCAACATCACTCGCTTGCACCCCCTGCTGGTGAGGTCGACTAACAGCAGATGGGGATTATGCTCGGTAATCGACTGCTTTTCCAGTTCCTGGATGTAAACGTTGAATTTACTGTCGAATTTGAACCACTGAATTTGTGGAAGCGAATTTGAAAGTGAAATAAAATGGACCGAAAACAGCCTGTTGAATATTATAGGTTGTATTTTTAATAAGTTTGAATATTTTGGAAGTGAAATATGAAAGCTGAAAATGGATTATTGAAATGTTACTAATGGAAATGCTTTTGAAATGTTTTGAATTGAAATATTCACTGCCTAAATATTCAACCATGCTAAATTTCAGCCCATAAAAATGCAAGCCCTAAAAATACAATGCATTAAAATACAAGCAGGGTTAATGCAATGCATATTTTGTTCAAGTAGTACAATTCAACAGGCTTTTTGTTTCAAAAACATTTGGCATTACTTTACTTCCATACACACATACATATGTATTTACATGCATTGGAAATTTGATTGAAACATATTTAAATTCATTTTCCAGCTAATTAAAATGCCAGCATGAATGAAAAGACAACATAACACATTGGACATTATTTCATGTTTTCCAGGTCCAACATAATTAATTGATGTCTTCATATTTATTCAAGCCAACTATTCATACTAAAGGACAAATGTTATTTTATTTAACTGGTGACTGATGCGCTTAAATTCTACATGTAATCCAATTGAACTCAATTCAGTGCCCCCTGGACACTTTCCTTTTGAACAGCTGTTTCATCTATGAAAAACTGCTAAAAACAGATTTATACCACAAACTCTCAAAAGATTGAAAGCAGTATTGATGGTTGGACTATACAGTATGAGCCATTTTCCCTGCAGATCACCGTGACTGTTTTCTTTTCCATGTTGATTCTTTCCAGCTGAGCCTCAGTAGATTGATAGCTATTTTTGCTTCTAGTATTTTATTGAGTGAAAATTGCAACAACTATCTCTCGGAGTCTCTCTCTCTCTCTCTCTCTCTCTCTCTCTCTCTCTCTCTCTCTCTCTCTCTCTCTCTCTCTCTCTCTCTCTCTCTCTCTCTCTCTCTCTCTCTCTCTCTCTCTCTCTCTCTCTCTCTCTCTCTCTCTCTCTCTCTCTCTCTCTCTCTTATTGTCCCTTTTCCAAAACTCTCTCACACAGACACATACACGTGTTATTCTAAACACAAACACCAACAACATGTCTGTTTTGTCCCACACATTGGTGTATTCACTTGAATTTTAATTTTAACGCCCAGAGAGATGAAGGGTGTTTCTGAAAAAAAAAAAAAAGTGTTTTGCATAAAATATTCAGAATGCAACTTCAGTAGATATGAGATCATAAATGAATCCATATAAGAGGGCTGACACACAGGGAAGAATAATGAAATGCAGAGTATAAGCCAAATGTGTGTGTGTGTGTGTGTGAGAGTCTTATATTTTCTGACTGCTTATCAGTACAATCACAAATATGCAATTCTTAAAGACAGACATGAAAGGTTTACATATGAAACGCTAGGTGTAATATAGTAAAAGCCTTTCCTTAAGCCCATCAATTTTCCGAAGGCAAGATTCAATCCTCCATTTTATATTTATTTCTCACTACTGTAAGCGCAAGGCGAAGAGGGATTACTAACTGAACAGAACCAAAGCATACACCTGACAAGTAATGACCTGACCTGACAGAAACTACAAGTTTCCCTTTAATAATAATAATAATAATAATACGTTTATTTTATATAGCGCCTTTCTACAAACTCAAGGTCGCTTTTCAATATGATACAAATAAACATGACAGTAGACAAAGAAACAATACAGATAAACTGAATAGGTAACATAATTAAACTGAAAAGATAATAAACTCATCATAAAGTCATGGATCAGAGACACAAGAAGCAAAAAGGTGGGGTTTGAAATCATGTAATGATTGAAGGTCGCGAATGTGTTGGGGAATAGAATTCCAGAGAGTGGAAATTCCTTTGAGGAGAAAGAGATGCTGAATTGTGAAGAACAAGCCTATGCATCACTTTAATTATGTATATAAGATAGTGGGGTCGAAAAGACGAAAACAATTGTTTTAGTTTGCATTGCAAACTATTTTATTAGTTATTAGTGTCATAATGTTTCTTTGTTTAAAACGTTTTTTTTTTTTTTTCATGTCCAACTAATTTTTAAATTCAGATTTGTAAAGTAGACTCAGACGTTTAGACCCCACTTTATATGCTCCAGTAGTTCAAGGAACTAATAATCTATAATGGTGTGAGAGATTGAAGCCCTTACCTTGGGCGGTGTTTGTCTGACTGTGTTTGAGTCTGACCAGCGATGTTTGAGCTGAGAGGAGTTGGGCACACATTCACAGAATGTCTGCATCAAACAAACAAACAAACGAACATAAAACTAAATAAAGTGATATTTTTATTTGGCATTTGGTATGTGTGTACTGGTTTGGCTAAACTTGTGAAGGCCAGATGTATTCAATAATATAGTGAAATATCATGACAACCGACTTCTGTAATCAGAAGTCAAATCAAGGTTGTATTTTTAATCTAATGTTGTGCACAGAATTCTATGAGGGTTAGGTTTATGAGATGGAAGTCTATGAGATGTTCTCCCTATACTCAAACAAACCTGTGTGTGTGTGTGTGTGTGTGTGTGTGTGTGTGTGTGTGTGTGTGTGTGTGTGTGTGTGTGTGTGTGTGCGTGTCTCTAATAATGCCCTTTTAGTAATATAGCTCCTCTTATCTTGAAAACGCATAAGATCACATATACACTTTCATAACAATCTCATCAGATTTTCTTTTTTATGTCCTAGGCAATAACAATATTACATTAGCTTTTCGCTATATGGTAACAAAATCAGATCACTGAGACATTAGGAAGGCCTGTCAGTGCTCTCTAATGCCATCCACAGATGGTCTCTTTTTTTTTCAATCACTCTTACAGATTCAGTGTGTTCAACCAAACAACTCAATGGTGTATGTTATTCCAACATTAAAAAAAAAAAAAAAAAGGTAATTTTTTTTAGACTTTCTTATTTTCCAATCCCTCCTATCCAGCCACCTAGAGAAACATGCTATGATTAAAGCAATGGATAAAAAAAAAAAAAAAAAATTACCTCATTGAATATCTGTATTTTTCTCACTGAAATACATCACAATTTGGATGAAAAATTGGTTGTGACTTTATACTCAACAAAATTACCCCAAACATGTCAAAACACAAAATATTGTTTACAGCAAGGCACTGCACCAGAATAAATGTAAAAATACACAATTTCAAAAGTGTAGCCACTTGACATTATAACTGTTAACATGAGACTAGTGTCATAAAATCGCTTACTAACCATGTGCAGTTATCCAATCTTTCTGCTCCTATCATAACCATGTACAGTAAACACCCTGTAACTTTCACATGATACATGCATGGATACTGCCCGTAATGAAGAGAGAGATAAAGAGCAAGAGTGTTCCAGGTCTGCATAAGCTGACTACTTGTTAAGCTAATTTAGAGTTAGAAGCTTTACACACTTTCTTTCCCTGGTTTAAGACACATCATAAGCCTCGAATTACGCCGGTCACCTGGGCGAGGAAGAAAAAAAAAAGAGACAGAGGAAACGTTGAAACAAAGCAAACAGGTGAAGAGCCTGAAGAGATTAGACAACCCATACTGACTACAGAGCATTCTGACAGCCAAAACTTAGTTTCAGTTGATACGAACAGTAAGAGAGACAAAGAAACAGACAGAGAGAGAAAACAAATTGTGAAACAGAAAGGAACAATGAGACTTTATGAGTTTGTGGTGCTCATATTTGTGCAGTTTTCACCCAGTGGTAAAAATCACTATCCATAAGCAGGCATTTTTCAGTGGCAGGTTCTTTTTTTTCTAAACAGGACGAGATTATAGGCATTCATTTTGTAAGAACTGTCTATGAACAATATCATCTGTTGACCAACCATGCAAGTTTATCTGGCAGGAACAGGTGGGCAAATCGTTGGTTTTTGTTTACGAATACTAAATCAACTACGCAGTGTTAAAGTATTACAGCTTTAAAAGTAAAGGATTGCACGGCAACAACTGAACTGCAGAAATTAGATCTGTGCTTTGTCTCTGTACCACCAAAAACAGCCTAATGATTGGCTTTTCAGAGGTTTCCTATATTTCATTTTCCATACAGGCTCACATTAAATTCCACTTGAAAAACCAAATCTAGGCCTATCTGATTTTTACCATAGTGATATAATAAGATCTATTCAGCGAGGTTAAACATTGATCAAAAAGATTTCTATTTCAAATAAATTATATTCAGTTAAACTTTATATTCATCAAAGTAAGAATATGTTTACACAAAACATATTAAGCAGATTGATAATAAAAAGAAATGTTTCTTAAAGGGACATTAAGTAAGAATTACTCCCATCTAGCGGTGAAATTGTATTTTGCATTCAAACGAATTGTGCTCTCCAGCGCCTCGCGTTTTCAAATGAAAATGTGTGTTGCATCTACGGTAGCCGTTATGTACCAAAAAGCTATGACAGAATGTCTTCTAATAGCATTCTGCTCCTCTTAATTAATTACTCTTTTTTCATTCTTTCCTGCCATTCCAATTCAATTCAAATTCACAATCAAGAATTTTAAATGCCCAGCCATGCTGTGTTCACACAATCGTATAAAATGTAACACTTCATGTATATTAAAACGCATTTTGGTCTTTCAAATAAAACTGCCAACATCCCTTCTCCTTTCTAACTGCCTGTCAAATCTCCAGACAACAAAACACATCTCCCTATCCAATATCCATCGTTTGCATATGTGGCACACACATAAAAAAACTCAAAAACTCAATACTACTGTACAGTAACCTATCTCACTACTTTAGTATCATTGTTGTTTTATAGTCATAGACACCTTGAGGTTTCCAACAATCTCAACTAAGGCCATGACAAAGAGACAAAATTGCACATTGCACAGATATCCCACGGTGAGGAAGACGAATGGATTTTTCAACCAATGCTCCTCGTGTATATATCTCCACTCATACATAGGAGAGTTTCCTGTGAATAATGCATGTAATAACCTAAGAATCAATACCATCTGACCACAAAGATGAACTCTCTATCACTTGCTTTCTCTTTCTATCTCTTTTCTCAATTTCATTTGCTCCGGCTTACCCTTCCTTCCTCCATTCTCTCTCAACCGGAAAGTTTTTGCCTACATGGACCCCAGCAGAATAGTAAAACCTGAAATCATCTACATTGTACAGTCCACATGAGGAAAACCGCTTATTAAATATACTAAATAATGTTTTAATTAAACTCTAAACGTGCACAAACATTTGTGTGAGGGTTATTTTTTAAGGTTAAGGGGATACAAATATCATTAGCTTAGTATGAAAACAACAGAAGTCAATGGAAAGTCTCCATCATGATTGACAAACAAATGTGCAGTATGTGTGCGGTTGGGTGCTCCTTCAACTCTAATCCACCCCAAATGCTATCGGGTGTGAAGTGATGGCCATTACAAATATGAGATAGAAGGGCGAGCCAAGGACAGCATACACAAACACACACAAAAAGATCCACCACTGAGACACTGGGGGCAACCGAGGCCACAGGCATGTGTGAACTGAATCTGATGCTATCTGAGGCGAAGAATTAGGGGCATCTTGAAGCATAAATGGGTAAACTGGATTGTCCTGGTTTTCTCTTGCACTCAATAAGATTTATTTACTTTGGAAGAAAAACAGAAGCTTCACTCCATTATAGAGACATACTCAATGGGCCTCTATTCAAAAGCCTGTGTATTTTGGATCAATGCAGGGCACTATCCATACAAGACACTGTTATTGGAAATATGTAAGAAACTATTGACAAACTGTGAACACCATGAACACAGTGGGAGAAAAAGGAATTTGTGTGTGAGATCCATTTTCTGTCAAAAATTATGGTTCAAATAATGATCGCTTGATGTGGTTTCAAAATTGTGGTTAGCGGTGTTATCTTGAATCCACTGTGGGCTGATTTCTGTGGCAATCATTGAATGACAGGTGATCCCGAGCTGAACTGAGAGACAAAGACACCTGCTTTCCAGCCAAATGTGTTCATGCTAATCATATAATCATGTCTAGTTAACGGTTATAAAGAAGACAGTTAACACTAATGATAGTTTCACAAGTTCAGACATTATCCTTGAGATTGATAAACTGATTTGGATTGCAGCCACAACTGAATATTGACTCGAGATTTCCCCTGCTAGACATAAACTAACAGATAGTTAAATACTATGTAGAAATTGTAGAAAGCTAGGACACCATTTTCAATGAGCTTGCAGCAATCCTTTCATATTATTAACAATCATATCACATAATATAGAAATGTTACAGATTTTGTTGACTTGTGTACTTAAATTAATGACGTCATATCCACCTTACATTCAATTTCCGGTTTTACATTAGTAGAAACCACTAAATACACTTTAATGTATTATACCCCGGTTTCACAAACAAGGCTTAAGATAGTCCCAGACTAAAATGCTTGTTTGAACTGTCTTACAGTTTTTCTCAATTGTTTACACACATTTTCTGAAAGCATGCCTCATACTCTCAGAACTCTACACACAAATCAAAAAACACACACAGAATGGGCAAAACCCCTCAATTCTCCTGCAAAATTAAACTTTACATTCAAAACAAAGTTATTTCTTCTCAAAATGGTATTTTGTTTTCAAATGACACACACAAACCATCATATGAATAGACATAAGAACCAGTTGAACACTGATGTGCTCAATGTAAAACACTGTGATGAATGGAAAACACTTCTTTTCCATTCATAATAATGACTTAGGCCTTTGTTTTGTTCAGTGTTACACTTACTACAGACAGTACATACATAAGTGTGTTATAAAATATTTGAGAATATTGTTTTTATATTCAGAACACACAAATACACGGTAACAAATATATTTTATTTTCCGCACAAAAACAATGTACACAGTGTACATCCCAACCAACACAAAGTTGCACATACAGTGGTCTACATACAAAACAACAGAAAAATGTACTGTATACAGTTACAGTAAAAAAACTAAAAAAAAAAACTATGCTGCATCCCCTCTTCTGTTTCGGTCTTTTATGCTAAAGCTCTGATTGCTAATTGTAAAACTGTGTGACATGTGTTTGTCCTTGTGACGAGTCAGTGTGCATATTTGAATGGCAGTGTGTTCCTTGTGAAAACAAGAGATTTTCTGCATGAAAATGGTGCCAAAAGCAGAGAATTGTGTGTAGTGTTTTGAAAAAAAGTGTGTTTTAGAACTGCAATTTGAGTGTAAAGCAGGAATTGTGCTTGTAGTTTAGCAGAATTGGTTCA